TTTATCGCAAACATTGACGGACGCATTAACATCAATATAAAAATTTTCAAGTCATATCCCAATCATTATTTCTTCGCAATTAAAGCGATAAAAAATGATTTTTATTAACGTAACATCCAATCATGCAATTAACCAGATAATCAAGAATTATGCATAAACGAGCGAGGGCGAAGGAGGAAGGAGGGGAGAAAGGCGAGGAAGGGAGGATAAGATTCGCCGTGGAGCGAGGCAGGTCCGATGAAATTTATAATTTGCCGAAGTTCCTCTGGCGTGGGCGATAATGGGGCCCGAGTTGCTTTGGGTCTAGCTTCGTTCCTTTTTAAGTTTTAAATAGTTTCGCGCGAGTTTTAATTAGGAAATTCATCCCACCGCCCTATTCGCCTCTATTATGCTCAACCACCCCACCATGAGCGGCGGCGACGATGGCGGCAGGGCGCGAGGGAGGTGACGGCCCGTTGAAAGGGGTACAAAAAAAGCACAACGGTCATCGTTTTTTTCAGTTTAGCAGTAACAAAAATTACGACGAACTTATAACGAGGTGAACTTTTCTTTGATCGCGTTATTAAGTAATTACGCTGTAGTTCGATCGTGAAATAACGGCTCGGTCCAGCTGTCATATTGCACGTTCCGTAAAAAAAAAAAAAAAATCCTCGACGCTCCGGGCGTTTTACTTTGCAGAAGGTCGCGTCTTAGCAATTTGCTCGTGATAATTCGTAATGATGCATTTCTTAACAATTTATAATTTATGTATCTTTAGATATCGGTGTATTCAAAGGAGTATACGCCTGGGGAAAAAACCTCTTTTGCCGCATCACTCTTCTTAAGTATTATTTTCCAACCAACAACGTAGACAAAGAAAAAAAGAGAACAAAACAATAATGAGTTTAATAGCTTATAATTAGCATATGCTCGTGTATGATGTAAAGTAGTTCTCATCAGGCTGTTTCTACGTCGTTAACAGGATAATTGTAATAATAGGTAAATAGTGAATATATAAATAATGAATTTTTTTTATAATTTCTAGATCATTCTATAACTAATAAGAAATCTTGCTAAAAGAGATAACGAAATATATAATAACAAATAAACGAATGATAATATTTCAGATATAGGCATTGTGAATATACGTAGCTTCTATATGCATTTTTTGATGCGTCATTAAGATGACGTCAAATATCAGCGGTCATGTCAACACGTATAATTGAAATAGCCAGGAGAGCGTTAATCACATCCTGGATCACCTTGAGAAAACTCGCGTGACTCGCGGGAGACGCGGAGAGACAGAACACCAAAGTAGAGCGTCTTCATTGTATTCTATATGGCCGGTAGCATCGATCGCCGTACTTTTTGCCTTTCCCCCTTTTGCTTTGATACGTCCCGGCCTGAGAAGCATCATTCCCCCCGTCCCGTAGCAGCTCTCCCCCTGACCCCTCGCGCTGCAGCAGCCACCTCTCCGGCAACACCATTCGCCGTTTACTTTAATTCTTATCTGAAATACTAGAGAGAGGCGAAGGTGGTCGGTCCCTCGCTCTTTCTTCCCGCTTTTCCGACTTGCCTCGCCACCCTCCCTCGTCCCTCCTCGTCCACCCCTGATACGGCACCCGCAGTCTTTCTTCCCTCGAGCTGCTCGAGGAGGTGGGTCACCTCCACCTCCGGCTTCGTCTTCTTCTCTCGAAGGCAGAAGGAGCAAAAAGCTCAGAAAGAAGCGAAAGATCGACGGGTGGGGGCTGACCCGGGTAGTGGGGAAGCTCGCGATTATTTTTAGGGGTTTGTTTGCCCTCGCAGCTCGCGGCGGAGAGAGAGATCGGGGAGCAGAGGGGCCAGATATAATACTGTATTTAGATACTTAGTTCTCTCAGCCGAGAGACGATACATCGGCGTGTTCATTAAATCTTTAATACAGAACAAAGATGTTATTCATCACATTTATGTTATAAATATTCAAAAAAGTATATAATCGAAATAAATATATAATCAACGTAATAAATTATGTATGACTTATAAATGTATATCCATAAAGAATTGACGATAAATACATTTATAAATTAGAAGAATAAATATCATATCTCAACAAACGCACAATTATAAATTTTAATGTGATAAAGAGACGGTAAAATCTTAAGTAAAATCCTAGCAAAAATGTTTTCTTTGAACAAAATATAAATCTGTTGGAAATTTGATATTGCATAATCTTAAGAATTCTTACGACGTAATTTTTTTTACTTCGAAATAGTTAATTGAAATAAAGTTGCGCCGTTTTTTTCGCCGACTAAGGATTTTCGAAAGGTATATACTCTTAACCTTTCCCGCCTGCCTTTTTACGACTGGACCGATCCTAAACTTACCCACCTCTCGTTGTATCCGTGCTCTCCGGCGACTTTACGAGGCTGCCCTCCGGAGCTGCTCTTTATCGTTCGCACTTTTTAGAAGGACGTAAAAGTAGTACCGTACGATGCTTAAAACCTACCGACTTTTTAGTAGCAATCTACGTCCACCGCGGGAGGCGGGAGTAGTTATCTCGTAAGAATCTGAAGTTAGTCGAAACGCACTAGCGTCCCTTTTCCGTGCACGTCGCGTTTCCATGAAAAAAAGCACGCATTTGATTGGGGTAACCTGTGGAGACGCGTGTTCGACGCGCGTTATAACGCGCGGAAACGCGTGCATGAAAACCAAGGGTTTTTAATTAAATATATTTCTTCAAGCGCGTTGCTCGATTCTTTTATCGCAAAATAAACCCATCATCGACTTTTCTTCTTTGAATATATAATTAAATATTCACAATACTTATTTATTGCAAAATTGATTTACGAGACTAAGAACAGACTTTATTTTAATTCTTTTGCTTTGAGATTGTTTAAATGCTTTGAGAAAATTGCGCGTGTATTATATCGAAACGTGCATGAACGTTATTAAAAGAATATATTTGCGTGATTTTTTCTCGCTACACTTACACTCCAATAATGTAACACATTTATCGTATGGAAGAATTGGGATTTTCTATGCCGTGCTTTAAATTATGCGAAAGTATATAATAAGAACGTAGGCCGCTTTGTGTAACCTCTGAAAGGACCGCTGATTAGAAATTCGTAACAAAAGAAAAAATGCTGACCGAAAGGGCTTCCGGGTGTCCGAGCTGCAAAACCTGTTTTACGATAGTCCAATTTTCAACCCTTTCTCTTCCGCCTTCGTCCCCCTTACATCGACCCCTCTCGTCCTTTTGCCCCAGTAACCTCTTAGGGTAAGAAATTATCGGACTCCTGAGAAATATTTTATTCCTGCGCTTTCGCAATGACGTTGCATGAAATAGACGTTTACGTTGCACCTAGAAAGGCATTTCAATAAAAATCTTTGAATAGTGGATTCATAAATCCAAAGCATATATATTTATGATAGAAAATTATATACTATAATTTTTAAGTAACTACGTTTTCATTTAACCTGATTTATTGTCCATTCATAATTAAACTTGGCATAGATATTTTGCAACACTTTGTCGAAGGATCGTTTAATGTTTAATTCTCAAACGAACGATTGCAAGAGAGACTGTGAAAAAGAGAGACGAACGAAAACGTGTGACCAGCGTAAAATTCATCGCGGCCGCAAACGACGTAAAAACAAAGGTTCTTAAATTTATGGTACAATCAAAAAGTCTTTATTATTTTCCCAGTGACGGCGCATCGCCATCTTTTGTTTTTGCCCTCTGCCTTGCCTTATGACGTCATAATTTATCCAGCCGACTATTGTCCCTTTCAAGACATTATCAAAAGGACGAGATCTTCGCCCGTCCCTCCGTTTCGCAAACGTGGAATAGCGAGAGATTTATAACCTTTTTTTTATAGAGTGATCGATTAATCATTGTCGTCGTTACTATGCCGAGTCCGTGACAGAATAATCTTGAAGCTCCAATAAGTAATCATTGCTGTGAGTGTCGCAAAAATTGGATTAATCAATACGCGGACGTTATTATATTTAATATAATCATTAATTATATAATTATTAATTATATAATTATTAAATATAATTATTAAATTTATTATCTAAAGAGGAGATACAAAAGCTTTAATACTCGAGATACAAAAGCAGTTTAATACTCGTAAATTTTTCTTTAAGATAATTACATCGAGATAATACATATCATATTAAACGATGCAAATTAAAAGATGGAGCACCTCATTTTAGCATAATAATGCCGTATCAATAACATTAATTTGAATTGATTGGCCTATTGCAATAATACGTGCGGTAGTTGTATGTGCTTGTTATACGAACTGTAATTGTATCGAGTAATTTATTACAGTACCGCGGAATGCAAATGTCTCTTAATTAATGCGGGCGGAGAAACAACGGACTTTTTCTCCTCTTTAGTCTCACGGCATGCTTCCATCATGGCAGGCGATCGGCAGATAATCGAAAAGCTAAGCGACGGGAAAATTGCGATCGGAGGGTGACCAATCGTCCGTGAAAATTGAAAAACTATTTCGATCTATAGCGTTCACACGCAGAGGACTATCGAGTTTCCCGTTGCACCCCATCCCTATCTCCGGAATTAAGCCCCTCTCTCTCTCTCTCTCTCTCTCTCTCTCTCTCTTAGTCCGCGAGATAATGTACCCGGTTTCTAGGATTCTCAATTATTATAAAGTGATCAACGGATAATACCCGGGCTATTAAATTGTTATATGCCACTCGTCTCGAGCGCGTTTTAACAGAATAACGATCCTACCGTGTACCGTGGGGGTATTCAAAGTCTCGCCGTGTGATCCAATCGATGTATAATATTTATCTGCCGTACATTATCTCCGAAACGCGCTATTACATGACAGCTATATTACTACAATACGCCCACAACGTGAATAATTAATAATGGCGATGCCGAGCGATATATACGTGACCGGAGAAACGTCGATCGTGTCGCGTACATTAATAAACGAAATAATGAGATTATTATGTAATCCATAGGCGTCCATCGTATCTTATCTATGGAATATTTTATATGTAGAGGGGGAAGCGGCGGGAAAGCGCTATGTTGCGCGAAACAAAGGGATCCTTCGCGAGCAGCTGCGCGGTGTGTCGACCCTCGGAGAGTGACGGAACAGGACCTTTTTCCGGATGTTTTGGTCAGGTAAGATTTGCATACCGGTCAAACGAGTCTGCCGGCATGGCATCACGGTCACTTTCGAAACATGCGTGTGGAATCTGATGCGCTTCCGCGAACGGATTCAGTGGGTCCGAGTGTCCTTCAAAAACGTCGGTTTAATCACTCGTCGAGAGAAAAAACGGAGTGTGTGATTTAATTGTGTGTAATCAACGTTACGTCTGTAATGTGTGACCATAAAATAATCATCACTAATCGATATTGTGTTCTTAATCTGACAGACGTAAGCTTGGAAATTATTAACTTCCGAGAGAAGGAACGAAAGAGGCTGATAAACCTCGCGAACGTGACAAATTAATAAACATACTGAATTTAAATGGATATTAAAATTTCCTTATTCGACTACTAGTTCGCAAACGTCTGGCTTGCAAGTAGCGAATCGGCTTAATGTCAAGTTTAAAAAAGGATTTGGATTTGGAATATTGATTTTGTATATTATTAACATATATTATTTTTATATCCAAATTTTTCCACGTTTTCTTTTTCACATATATGTTATCGATACAACTATAAGCTGTTCGATCGATCTTACAATTAGCTTAAACAGCGCCGTCTTACATATATGGCAAAGCCGAATAATTCAGATGTAAACGCGGAGAGTTTATGATCGGGAACGATCGAATTGTGTTTACGCCTGCCGGAAAATCATGCTCGCCAGCTGATTCTAGACGTAGCGTTTCGTATTTGCGTCATGTCACGTGTACGTAGTGCGCGCGTTTACCCGCAACCGTGATTTAATATCCCCTCGATCGCGGATCGTGCGATCGAGCGACTTGATGCGCAAATTAATTAAATTCCAGTCGCGCGCTCTCGGAAAGCCTTCGGCTCGTTTCGCGTAATTGCGCGTTTCGTCTCATTAACACGATAGTCAAATTATACAAATTCGAGTGACCCGTGCGCAGAAGGTATCTATAGAGGGTATCTAGAGGCTATCTCGTAAAGAGTGCCCTCCGAAGCATATTGTCATATTCTGTGAAAAATATCGCAAAAAAAAGCGAGCGTTATCGCATTCGACTTATTTGCGACAACTTTGTTGAGAGACATAACATTTATTTTTATTTTCACTGCAGTTTCAGTATTGCGGAATTTCACTGCTTTGTGTTATATTTTAAATCGTTGCATATCTTTAATTATAGTCTCAGTTGCTCGCAAATGTAAAGATCGACATGTACAAATTGTAAGTTTTTATCATCCGAGATTTTTTCGTTCAAGATTCCACATTATTTAGCGATATTTCAGCGATATTTTCTATCTCATTTATCTGTCAGTTTACACTCTATCTTATTTCTTTCTATAATATCTCACGTAATCAACAAAATATCGCCGCTCAAGTACTCACTCTGTATAGAATAAGAGCATTGTCCTCTTGTATCGTTGATTAATTAAATAAACACAATTATGTACGAGATACTTAGGTCATCAAGTGCGGTCAGAAACGATTCAATACCAACTGTAAATGTTTTTTTTCATTTAAGATATTTCTAATTTAACAATTATGAACTATAGATATAAAAAACTTCGACAAAAATTCATCATTAAACGCGGTCATAAGCGATTAATTTCCAACTATGAATGTTTCTCTCGCTTAAAATATTTATAATCTAACCATTATGAACTATGGATAAAAAAGCTGATAAAAATTCAAATTTATCCCGTTACAAAAACTTCCAAACAATAATAATTAATATTGCATACGACTAAAGATATATTTAGAAATAATTGTTTTTTCGTAAAATATCAAAAACAGACACAAAAAAATATTCATGAAATTCCAATATATGTCACACCTTTATATTTAATATGCTTATTACTATGTTTACAGAAAAATAAAAGGTCCTTCTCTCTTTCGGCGAAATTAAAAAAAACTAACGTTGAATGAAAGTCTTCAAAAAGATACGGGAGAAGGAGAAACACGGACGATCGGCGATTTTCCCTTACATTCGCAGCCGTTTCCATTAACGAGCCGACGGAACCGTTGCAAGTTTTTGCATTCAGCTCCCACATAAGAAGGTAAGAAAAGATCCGCGCAGAAAATGAGAAAACACAGACGAGTCGCGATTTCTTGCATACCTTTCGCATTACTGGCCTCCACTCCCTTCTTGCCTCACTCGCCGTTTACCTTTCCTTTCCTTTTCAACCCACGAATTTCTCCTTTACCCGCGCGGTCCACCTCTCGCTTTTCTCCCCTCCAATACCTCTTTTTACTTCCTTTTTCCTTCCTTTCAGCATGCTACTCTTGTTTTCCGCTGTTTCAATAAAAACAAAAACCTAAGAGCAACTTCCCCATCTTGAACTGAAAATACGCCATGGAATATGCCGTTCGGTCAATACGCGTGGAAAATTAAAAATAAAAAAAGTATCATTAAAACGCGGCGGTGAATAGAGATATTTTAAAATATAAAACATTTTATATAATTGCGTTTCAGTATATAAAATTTTAAGTTTTATCACATTCTTTATCTCAGCAACTAATGTCTAACAGCGCCTAACCGAGTTAGTTACGCTATTTAATCTAAATATCTATATAAAGCTGAAATTGTAATTATTTTTCAGATGATATTTTCAGATGTTATTTATAATCTTTTTTTTCAGAGACATATCAGACATGTTGGAGGACATTGGTGAGATTTCTCGGTATAGACGGTGACCGCCCCTTTCTTCGGTCGCCGTCGAAAATATTTCCGGCCATTTTTCGCCCCACCAACGCAAGTCCACCCTCCGAAAGAAAAGCAGCGAAGGTGGGGTAGCCGTAGGGGATAGAACAATGGAAAAAGTATCGCCATCTTTAATTCTGTCCCTATTCGTCTCAACGAGGAACGAAGAGCGGTTCGTCCCGATGAGAAGAAAAGAATGAAGTAAGATCGATAGATTCGGTTTTGTAAATCTTTTCAAAATTTTTTGCGTCTCACATATTATTATTGCCTAATTATTCCTATAAAGTATTCTGCAAAGTAATTATTGGCAGTGCGTTTCATAGATATCTGTACTTTATCGCACATTATTTTATTGAGAAAAGAAATATGGATAATGCGCCAATTTTATATTAATTATATCCCAAGATTTCCAAGACTCTTGACGTATCATTCCAGTGCAAGATGATAATATTGAGATAAATTGGAAATTATAAAATACTATTTCATCATGCTTCAATTAATAAGTTTTTTGTTTAAATCTGAATAACTGTAAAGCGAAAAGGAGTAATATTAAATTGTATTTAATGCCAATTATCTAAAAAATCATTACTTCGAAAAATTTTAGATAAGATAGATAATTTTGTGTTCATGTTAACAATTATAACCGACAGCTAATTCTATTGCAGCAGGATATCTGACTAGCCAATGTATCCTGGGACACCATAGAAATCAACAGGTTCGGGTCGTAGATGCTAGATGGAGATGCATTATCGCAAGCAACTAAGTTCTGTGTCTCAATTTAATTATTGAATTATTGTATACAATTTTTTGTCGTTGTTTATTAAATAAATTGACATAATTTGGATATAATAGTGAATAATTATCATTAACACGATAAAAATATTGATGAAGCGACTTTAGTGTTAAACGACGTTATCATTTTTATCATTAATTGCATGGATACTCGCGAGAGACTGACAAGAATAAGTATAACATTTATAACAGAATCGCAATTTTTTGCAATTCAGTTCTTGATAACTTTGTGACTGATGATGCAACGTAAAATTATGACACAGTAAATTTCTCTTGAAATTAGAGAGAGATAGACGATACTTTCAGTACTTATTCTCAAAAACTGTAATCTAAAGACCAGACGTTAGTTCAGTTGTTATATTTTAGAATATTTCATTCCACTGAGAAGATTATTCATTACGTGGAAGATATACATTCCTGTACGATTGCGGCCTTGCGTTTCAATAAGACTAATAGCAAGAAAACGAAAAAAACTGTTCGAGCGCGTCAGTAAAAAAACTCAAGTAATAATAAAAATATGGGAAAAACTTCATAATTCTCGTATATAATTATTACGTAACTTTGCAATCGCTCATTCATATGCATACTATCGTCGTAATGTTTTCCATTTTATTCATACGGAGTGTGTGCAGTAAAAATGAGTTTAATAAACTAAACAAAGAATCGATAAATTATATAAATAATTTAAAGAAAATGTTAATAGTATAATCTGCATCATAATATACGTACACACAACATTTTCTAATATTTTCGAAGCAATGAGTGAAAGTAAAATAAATACATCGAATAAGTAGATTAGGTTCGATTTATTGTTCTAACATTTTAAAGATATTTATGAACCTGAAAAAGGCCAATTAAATATTTTAAAGTATATGCTCGAAATTCCAGCCTTCTATTTGTACACATAAATTTATCTTACGAATAAAATTTTTTTTACAAGTTGAATACTTATATTTACTATCTATACGATTTTTATCTTTAGACGTCCATTTTACCTCACAAAAAATTTCTCTTATTAAGTTGTATCACAAATAAGAGAAAAATCCACGAACGTATTATTTAAAAACGATCCAAAATTATTTAACGACACAACTGACCAAATTCTTTATTAAATCATAACGTTTCGATCCTAATTGGGTCCTTCTCAAGCACAAAACCATCATAAGTCGCCATACGCTGATTCCTAGCACCATCGTGCGTACATAAGATAATTTTGTAATGATATTGATGATGTGTTGATGATATAAACGGAATAATCGGAACATCCTGTTTACTATATCCAAAATGTGTCATGGTCAAATTCACACTTAGAAAAATATCTCACTTGATAAGGACCCAATTAGAGTCGAAACGTTGTGATTTACTAAAGAATTTGACCAATTGTTGTTGTTAAATAATGTTGGATCGTTTTTAATATTTACTGGCGAAAAAAAATTATTGTTATTGTATATTATTTAAATATCATATGCACTTGTTTTGTGAAATCTTTTAATGAAAATAGTGTACACGTGCAGCGTGCGTTGTCCCAAAATTCATGCGTAACTTAGAGCTCTCATTCGTTAGATTTAAATTGCTTTCGTTTAAAAACTATTATTCCAATGAATCTTTGCTAAAAAAAAATTGTTACTCCTGATAAAAAATCTCACTACACATTTCGCGCGTAAGCGAATTGCGGAACACATGGTGGTATATCTGTTATAAAAAAATAGATGTTATACATATATATTATACATATAATTAATTGTTTCTCATAAGCTTATTATGAATTTATGATAAATTATTATTTTTTATTACTATATCGTTTCTCCTGACTGATGTAATAGAAGCGCAAGGCTACAAGAACAAGGATTGAGAATAAAAAATGTTTTCTCTAAAGTAAATGCGATTTCGCTATAGTATGGAACACTCCTGATCATAACGATATAAATCAATTCTAGTTTTCCGTTTTGTTTTCGATCTATGTAGATTAACCGTATATTTCTTTGTCTCCATTAAAATTGCATTAAACAATATTTCACTGATAAAATTTTCCACTATAGAAAATAAAATGGATTATCCCATTCTTCATATGTCCTTGGAAAGTTATCCGCAAGCATAATTATAAAAATTCTCCCATTGCGCAACAATAATTTTATTATGGTGATAACCTCCAAGGTTAGTCTGAATAATAATTTCATTGTTGATAAATGAACGACTAATCAGTTCCTCATGTTCATTAAGCGCCTGCGTATGTATGTGTTTCAACGACACTCGTCATTGCACACATCTTTAATTAATCTGTCCCATTAGATGAATTTTATGAGATTGTAGAACCTTAACAAATAATTTACTACTAAAGAAGAAAGATTTATATCAAATTTCTTACTGTAGACGTCACATATCCGGACGACAAATTATGAGAATGCATTACGTAAGAATTGGATTGTCGGTCATTATGGTTAGACAAATGTCAAATATAATTAAACCATGATTAACGTGATCTAATCATATACCATTAATGTCGATAACACACAATTGCAACTGTCACGCTCACTAATGTAATTTTATTCGAATCTTGCAAATGCTATTTACATTACATTTGCGATTTATTTACGATTTCTAAGTGTGCATTTACAATTAACGTGTGCCTTTTTACTTCGCCGTTTTTCCCTTTTCTCTTCGTTACTTCTACAATCGATTTTTTGTAGATATTCTATATTTTACAATTTTTTTTACATAATAAAATATTTAGGAAACTGAACTATTTCCTTCTTCTTTGCACATTCTCTTCGCACAAAGTCATTTGTAGATAATTAACACGTACATATTTAATTATACTTTCTTCTTTTTATAATCCAAACTTATAAACAATTTATCAAAAACACATTTTAATATTTAATTACTATTATATCATTATATTTTGTAAAAATTGAGAAAATAATAATTTTATGTAACAAAAAAGATACACGCTAGATTATTTGAAGAATTTTTTTTCTCGGAATATTTTATAACCAATTTTATAGACGCTAGTGGAATAACACCTCGTTCACTCATGTTATTCACTAACCTTGAACATATTTATATCCAAGGATAATGAAAGGACGAAAGTATGCAAATTTTCTGGCCTAAGTCATCGGCAAAGTTCAGTCGACAAGCATAATATTTAGAACAGGTTTCGTGAGACACGGCGGCGGTTTCCAACGAGATGTTTTCGAGGATAAAGAGAGAGGATAAAGGAAGGAAAGATTATACTACGTGTCGGCGGGGGCAGTCTGCCGATGGACGGACAGATGTAACATGAAGTGCAGAGGCCACCTCGTCGAGACACTGCGAGACACATTGCATCGTGCATCCTGACAGATCGCTCGCGTTTCGCGGGCTCCATAAGCACGCGAAGCGTCTGTTATTCGTGACTCCACAACCGTGTCCAATTCTAGCAAATAATCTCTGTTCAGTTGCTAACTAGTTATCCGAGTGCTTAGCCAGGTGCCAGAAGAAATTTTTCAGTTGAAATTCACGGAGATCTTTAAGCGCGACAAGACCTACCGGAAAGAGAACATCGATGAAAGACACCTTTATCGTGCGGTAAGTAACTTGTTTTTTATGTCAATAATAAATCGCGAATTTGCAAAAACAATGTAGATTTAATAATGAAAAAGTCAGTTAGATAAGGAAAAGTAAGATTTCACAGTTTTCTTATATAGGTACGTTGATAATTAAAGTGTTATATAAGAATTATGTTATCCTTTTTGAAAACTTGTAGATATTATTGAAAAACAGTTTTCAATTTATATAAAAAAGAGAATACGTTTTTTAGAAAAAAATATGTATAATATATCTATTTTTATTCTATAACATATACTAGTTTAATT